TCGACCGAGGAGGAGGAGAGTCTTCTGGACTATCACTGGCGACCGTGTGATGGCTTTGGACTCGTTGAAGCCCGCGAAGACAGTCCGCAGCAGTTACCCACTTCCGTGCTCATCTGCGGTACCGACGACTATCAGGTGACGACTCACATCACAGCTTCAAACCACTGTTGAGGAAGATACGGATCCTAGCAGGAGAGGCAGAGGTCGTCGCTGATATCACTGAGGCCGATGCTGTGTGCCACCTTGTCTCCTTAGACCACCGTCACAGGTTCGGCTACGGTCTGGTAAATGGGACGGTGGGAGTCTATGAAGGCTCGAAGCGCGTAAGCCTGTACTTCGCATCGTCGCCTGCATTGCCGGCAGCTATGGCGAGTTCGTTCACGCCATGCCCCGTCGTATATCCTGGCCTTTACTCCTCACACTGAGGATAGCAAACACAGTCGTAAAGAGCTCGCAATTGGTTGGATGAACGGCTTGGTGGAAGTGAGGAGGCAAAGCAACGGAGAGGTGGCTGTCCTCATACTCACCGACCCACCCTCGATGGTGATTACCAGGTTATCTTCAAGACCAGAACTGGCCCAGATCCTCTCGCTGCCGTTTTGAGCATGGATTACATCGGCAGTCCCGTGCCTGTGCTGATGGCGATTGATATCGAGGTGTCCTCGTAGGACCTATTCTACTGACTACCACTTTCAGGGCCGCGTCCACGCTTGGATGCCTCAGTCAGTCGGAGGTCCGTGTCGTCGCTGATGCTTTATATTAATCATTCCTTCTAGTAGCTCCACCTCAAGGAGAGTCTCCGCATACACCAGCGCAAGCCAACGTTGGCGAGCAGCTGAGCTCAGAGATGCCGGTCGACGAGGCCCCTGTGAGTGAGGCCGTCACTGACCATGGCCGAGTTCCCCTCCAGGTCCTCGACAAGGCCCAGGTCAGCCGTGTCCCTGCCAGCTCTGATGGGTCTCTCACCGTGGAGCTCTTCACCACTCCGGCTGGGGTGGTCCTACGACTGGCGGTGCCTATGGGCGTTATTATGAAGGTGGGTAGCACCGTCAAGACTGGATACTACCTGGTGTAGGTCATCATGACTGCCGAGGGGCTCTTCGGCCCAGATGGACATGTCGTCAAACCAGAACCGCCGGCCAAACGGATCGAGGTCAATCCGACTTTTTAAGACTGTCTAACGGGGCGGTCTTCAGCAGTGGCCCTACTGTGTAGGTTAACGTACCCATCTCTAAAGACGTGGGAACGTTGCTCAACATCAAGTGCCTGACGGGCGTTACAAAGGCTAGTGAGCTGCGTGAGTACGCAACAGGAAAGACCAGTGTGGTCTCAGGTCGGGAGTATACAGTACTGGAGGCCCACGCCCAGCCACCTAAATTTGCCATGTACCATTTCGTCGGCCCGAGCCTAGAAGGACAGAGTGTTCCAACAGGGTGACCTTACCGAATGTCGAGGGGCCCCAGTTTTGCTTTCTGTAGGAGCGTGAGCTTCAGGATGACTGAGAATATTGACAAGTTCCGAACCTGGGTACCGTTGAAGACTTATGCACTGTCCTATGCGACTCTAAAAGGTTCAAGAGAGCTTCTACCTGGGAGATCGCTCTGCAACGGTCACTGAAGGGGCTCTACAAGTAGCCTTCTTGCCATGCCGGAGGTACACCCCTGCGTGATCTCATGAAGGAGGGGTAATTGGTTTAGACCAGAAGAACGCGAGGCGTCATCAGGCTTGGAGATCTCTGTGAGCAGTGATGGATCAGTATGCATCTCAACCGACAGCATGCAGT